TGGGCGGGCACTCGCCGTTGTCACCGGCTGCGCGGCGGCCTCGCGTGGTGGAGTTATTAAATGTTACACTCTGTGGCCGTGTGTTAGTCATGGAATCATAGATTTGTCAAGGTTGGAAGAGACTGTTAAGATCGTCAAGTCCAATTGTCAACCCAGTACTACCACTGTAACCCCTACACCACAACAGCAGCACCCAGATGCAGACACCTCTTAATCCAGGGTTGGTGACTCCACCACTTCCCTGAGCAACCTATTCCAAGACGACCTTAACGTTGAAATTTTTTTTCCTAGTATCCAGTCTAAATCTCCCAAGGCTCCCTGTCCAAGGGATCCACCTGCATGGGCTCAGGGATAAAGTCACCTATGGCCAGGCTCTGGGACAAACTCATCCATACCCTGGCAGACAGACTTTTCCCCTTTTCTGAAAAAGATGCAAAATCTGATCTTGTCCCTCCTCACCCTGAAGTTGCCACTCCTGAGTTGACAGGACACCCTGGTACCCACAAAGCATCCGCAGGGATCCCAGAGGGAAAAATGTCACTTCTAATAACTTAAAAACACTTTTGCTATTTTCAAAGTTACAAATCTTCACTACAAGTACCCACATTGCACCTCCAGGGAAGACATGGTGCAGCCAGCTGTGGCCTCTGCACCAGCTATATATTTTAAATATAAAGCTCCCAAGAGCTTTACACTTATAAATCAAATAGCGCTGCTGCTTTTAAAGGATCTGATTTTTAAAGTACTTTTAAGAGGGTGAAAAAAATCTATAAAATCAAGTTTGTTTTCTCACTAAAAAATGCCAACCATGAAAGCTCATTTTCCATTATAAAACTATTTATAAGAACATAGTTATATACAAGGTTTCACTGACCAAAGAGTTCACAATCATCTGCAAACTGATTCACTACAAGATCACACGGGAAAAGCTTCATAAGTAACATCAGCATGTGAAGGTAGTGACTCTTCTCAAAATCCATCGCAGGTCACAGACACAAAATCCTTTATTAGTGGAAAATCCAAACAACTCAAAAGGCTTCAGTCCATGTTCATTAGTATCGCCTGTTCATCTTCTTGAACTTCTCATAGTGATAATCATCTGTGGCTTTTTCATTGAGGGGACGTTTGCGATTTGGAGGAGACCCTTCAGAAGAGAGAGAGGGAAATATTATTTCCCTGTCCTTTGACAGGAGATGTCTTAACCCCACCACTTCCCTTATACAGCCCCTTGCTATGTAAGGTTATTGCTTCAGCTGTCACTGCTCCCCAACCTTACACCCTTTGCTGTTCTGGCTTCCACCAAACCCTTCTCAAATAGCTTTGCCAACATGCTTGAGCTGTGACCTTCACTACTCCACCCCTGAGCATCTCTAAAAACATCCTCCATCCAGAGGGGCTTCAGGTGTGACCTGGCAGTGGTACATCAAGCACAAACAACCAGCTCTCTTGGACTTGGATTGCTCCATTTCCCTCCTAGCTCAGGACATCCAGAGGAGGTAAAAAGACCCAGATCCTTTCTCTGTTTCCCTGAAGAGTTTCAGTGTATCTCTAGAGCCTTTCAGAACTTACGCTCAGGTTCTGGTCTCTCAGTATCCCCCACTCTCAGGGGACGGGGCTTTGGCTCCTCTTTGTTCCTTCGCACTGGTGCGTTCAGCTCCTCATGATAAACTGAGAGAAGGGAAACATCAGGTAAGGAATATTATCTGGAGCACTCTTATCCAGATGGACAAATTTCTATGGCATTTGTTACAAGTGATCTTTAGCAGAAACAACAGCAGCTTAGAACAACCATTCTTGGAATTGGGTTTCTATGGATAATCGATACAGGCAAGATGGGGTACAGCAAATTTCAGTAGCACTATTTCATCAGAAGTGGCCCAAACACTCTTTACTTCCTTTAGAACACACCAACCTGACCCCCAGTCACCCCTGTGAGCATGGAAGGCCACAGCAGAAGGCTGCCTTTCCTCCAGATGGCTGTGGTATGAGAGGCCCTCCCGGAAATTAATTCCCTTCTCCTGTCTAGTAAGGTCTGTGGCCACCTCTCTGCTCTGGCAGCCTAAAACATGGACCCTCTCCACTATAAACCACCATTTATCATCCCAGACAGGGCAGGCATTTCCAACGCACGCTCAAGGCACAACTTAAAGAAAACATCTTGAAATTTATGAGTTGCTGCCAGCTGGGAGTTCAGAAAGTTCAGCCATGAGAATGAGCAATGAGAGTCCCTCTTCTTGCTGACAGGAAGAAGAAAAAGACCAGGCCAGATGTGGTCTATATGAGCATCCCAGGAAAAGCAATTGTGGAGCTGCTTGTGCCAACACACAGACTCTGCATCAGACTCTGTCCCAGCCGGGTCAGGAGAACTACATAAGACTTACATCTGTTGTGCTGGACATAATTAACGGCCATGTTGGTGGGAACAAAGGAAGTTTCGCTGTCTTTCTTCTTGTTCTGCTGCTCTGCCAGCAGCTTGGCCTTGGCCTCTTCAGTTGAGATGATGTTTTTTATTTTTGCACTAGAAGAGAAAGAAAGAAAAAATACTCATAGTTAGAAGGGGTAGCAGGCACAGAAGTGCTAAGTGGATGGGTTTGGGGGGTAGTAACAGCACTGCCATGGTACTGTTACATGGTACATGTGTTTTTGGAGAGAGGAGGCATTGCTATAGAAACAGGTGCTTTGTTTCAAAGGCAAAAGGGAAGCTGTCATCTCTGTTCATCCTTTCAGTGCAGGGCACAAATGGGTCATCCAGAAAGCTGCCAGAGTCAGGTCACAAAAATTAAGAGCCTTTTCCCACAGGTCACACAGTGGAGCTGCACTGAGCCCTGTTGCTGTGCTGTGCTAGTTGCCACACTAACCCAAAGCAATTCTCAGTCCCACCCCACAGCCAAACTGGGGCTGTGTAATCCACCCATAGCGCTGCTCTGCCAACCAACAGCTGCTTATCCTGGAAATTCTGGCCATAACCCACAGATCTGTGAACCACATACTCAATTCCCAGGTCCACTTCAGGAATGCCACTCAGCATCTGGTTGGACAGCATCTCCTCAGTCTTCTTGGCAGAGGAGACACGGATGTTCTCTGGCAGCTCGTACAGAGAGTCCTCGGCGTTCTTAAGCTTCACCTTCTGCTCCTCATTCTCCACAATTCCCTTTCTCTTCTTCAGCTCAGTCTCAATGTACTTCATCCTAAACAGCAGCACATGAAGGACACACAGCATTTATTTCTGTGCCTGTACTCCATCCCAGCCCTGCTGAGCACAGCTGCATCCCTGTCCTGAAAGCTGGGACAGAAGAGAGTAATCTCTCCAAAAGAACTCAGCTAACATCAACAGCACGAATTAATTGTCCAAGAAACAATCAGATCCTCCAAGCTCTTTCACAGCCAGCAGGGAAGGCTCCCACTGGGATTTAATGTCAAGCTGGCTGGTTGGCACCTCCCAGCTCTGTCCATGAAAAAGCCTTCTCAAGTCTGGCATGCAGGAAGTGAAAGGGTGAGGGAAAGTTTCAGTGAGAACTGGGAAGATATTCTGGGAATACTCAGAATCCAAGACAGAAAATGTAAATGGTGAGTGACTACCCAGGCCAGTTCAACACCAGAGACACAGCACAACTCACATGTCAGCATCTTCATCCCGCCTGTTGGTCTCTGCTGAGAAGGAAGTTCCCAAGTTCAGATCTTCCTCTTCATTAATCCTAAGTGGAAACCACAATGTTTACAGGTTTTGGTGGGGGTTTTTTGTTTGTTGTTTGGTTTTTTGGGGAGGTAGGTGTGGTGTTTTTTTTAAACTAATTTAACATGTTAGGGTAAAAATAACTGGCCAAACTGCGTTATATTAAACTCTCTAAAGTGACACGACATCTGGTTAGTTCATTACCAGCTGTCATTTAACACTAGCACAGAGAGAGATTTTCAGAGCTCACATGCACCCACCTGTCCTTGCCTCTTTCCTTCAACTTCTTCATGTCCACCATTCCCCCGGATTTTATCTTAAATGGGTCATCCTGTAAACCAAGACATAACAAGAAACCCTGAAGCTTCCCCCTAGTTTAATGCTAACCTTCAAAATCTGGATGAAAGCACAGAAAACATTTAGGAACTGAGCTGTGACATCAGTCCCACCCCAGGCCAGACTCACACAGTCACTGGCTAGACCACAGCAATGTCTTCACACCATCACATCTTAGCCCTGAGGAGATGGAAGTGCCCAGCACTTACCACAAGTGTTGCTTCTTCTTGCAACTTCTCTCCCACAAGCAGAGCTACAGCACTGGTCAGGCAGATAAGGAAAGAAAATGGAATTCAGTGGAAGGAAACATATTACCAACAATACTGCATTGCTTTATCCTTCTTTAAGTCTCCCCCTCTTTTCCACCCTCAGGCTTTAACATGGAAACTGCTCTATCAGGAACATGGTTTTGGCAGTACCTGACATGTAATGGTTTGTACGGAAGGAGGCAGATGACGAGAGAAGTTCACTGTTACACCACACCCTCAGACAAAGCACAACTTCCCATCCCTTACCTCACCCCATTGGGTCGCTTTCTGAGGCTCTGAACTTCTTTGGCTTCCTCAAGTTTTAACCTGAATAAAAAAAATACATTTGACTTAGTACTTAATGCCTTGGTTTTAATTAATCATTTTGATTTTCTGCAGTTAACACAGAATTTTCTAGTCAGACTTTGCCCTAAACCTCTGCATATCAGCATCTGCTTTTCAGGTTAAATATGTATTTTCTATTTATTTGAAAAATTCCATGTATTTAAGCAATCAGAAAAAAAATCCTAACTAAGGCATCTGCTGGATTTGTCCCTTCCAGATGCTTTACCTCAGCTGAGGAAGGAAGCACCTAAATGTTGAAAGGCTTTAAGAAGTCAGTTTGGGAAGAACAAGCCAAGACACATCAGTGCAAGAGTGACTCTGAAGAAAGTTGATGGTAAACTGAAACCCCAAGTGCCTCTCTTTAAACTGACAGGCATCCTTAACTTCTGCAGACATTTAAACTTTTCCTAATGACACGTCTTTCAATACCTGCCAAGAACTGTGCACCATCAAGTATTTTTCAGATATAAAAAAGTAACAAGATCTTGTCGGGGATGAAAGAATCCGAGAACAGAAGGGACCCTCTGTGAGCGCCCAAGAGGATGACGAGTGAATGTCAACAAAGAGGCAGGTGCCCAGCAGGGACAGAGGGACCGTGGGGGTCAGGGTGGCCCTCAGTGTTTCCAAGCGCAGCTCCCAGGGCTGTCCGGCTCCAAACCCTCTCCTCTCCTGGCCGGAGCACCCGGGGGATGAGAAGAGAAGGACGAGACACCCCTGGGAACGGAGCTGCCACCCCGGAGCGGCCGGAGACGATGGAGAGATGAAGTGACACAGCAGTGTATCGGTGTGACGTGATGCTGTGACGCAACGACCCCATCACACAGCGGTTCAACACAATATGACACGACGCACCCTCTAACAGCACAGCCGTGGGTGACGATACGGCGATATGACGACATGACACCGTGTCGTGACGCGCCCGGACGCGGCACTGCTGCACTAAGGCAGACCCGTCAGCCCCACGACCGCTGGGCCCGGCCGGGCTCCCCGCCAGCCCCCGACCCACCTGACCTCCTCGGCGAGCTGCTCGTCCTCCTCCTCCTCGTCCTCGTCCTCCCTGCGCCGTCGGAAGGACTTCTTGGCCGGCATCGCTGCGGCCGCCGCGACGCGACACGACACGACAAGACACGGCCCCCCACAACGCTCAGCTCCGCTCCGGCTCCCGTCGCAGCGCGATGACGCCACAAACGCGCCGCGATCGACCACAACAGGCCGCGCGCACCGCCCCCTTGCCAGCACCGTGTCCGGGCAGGAGCCGCCCGGGAGCCCCCCGTCGTGACCCTGCCGGGAGCGGGCCGGGAGCCCCCGGGCTCTCCCTCGATTTTCCGAGGAGCCCCTGTGTAACGTCACGGGGGGAGTCCGTCCTGCAGCCTCAGCCGGTGCCGTGTGCGTGTCAGGGGAGCGCTCGGCCCACACCCGGTGTTTACAGCCTTGCAGCGGGCGGGACGCGAGCTCCTCCAGCCCCGGCCGCCCCCTCGATCACCGAGCCGCGCTGTTGCGTGCTCCGGCTCGAAGCGAGGGCTGAGCCCCGACCAGCCCGGTGACGGGGGAGCCCGAGTGCCCGGGCCCGCAGGGGCAAGCGCCACGCCCCTCTGGCCCGGCTCCGTCCCGCCCGGCGCAGCCCGGCCCCCGCCCGCTCCTCCCCCTCCATGCGCCATCGCGGCCCCGCCGCTGCTCCGGCCGGCTACCCGGCTGCCGTGGCCCACGTGCCTCCCGGCGGCCGCGGCCTGGGGCGGGGGCGGCGGCGTCCCGAGCAATCCCGGCAGGTGAGCGGGGAAGGCGGGCGGGGGCGCGGGGCCGTGCGGGGGGAGGCGGGCGGCCGGCCCGGGATGATGCAGCAATCAGCGGCCGGGGGCTCGAGGATCCCCGGCTTTGCTTAGGGGCGCCGCTGCAGCCCCCAGTGGCCCGGTGCCTTCCCCGGGCGACCCTTTGGAGGTTGGAGGTTATGCTGTTCAGACCTCCCCGGGCTGAGCGCTTGTAGCTGTCAGGAGGGGATTTGTGTTTTTGGGGTCTGCTGCGCTCGAGGAGGAAAGGGGGGAGTTCCCGGAGGTGTTTTTTGCTTAAAAGCTAAATCTCCGGGTGAGCCGTTGTGTTGTGACCTCCTGTAACAAAATCAGCGTTCAGACCTGCTCTGCTTTGCCTGTGCCACATAAACCTTCTGGCTTTCCCTGCAAACGTTCAGCGGCGAGTCAGAAGCACTTCCTTTCTGCTTTTGCCTTGTCAGTAGGGCAGTTCAGTAAGTATGTCTTTCTTTAGTACCTCAAGCATAAAATGTCGCTGAGAACTGCAGATATTCTGTTCTCTTGGTGGGTTATGCAAGACCAGACCCGGTAGTTTGTTTTGTGGATGAGCAGTGCAAAGATCTCTTTTGTTTGTGCAGTTACTCCACACACTGTCAGCCTGCATGGATCTGAAACTCTTGATAGCTTGGCTCTAGCTTTGGTACAAAACCACGCAGTTGGTTTATGCAAAAAAACCCCCCCAAAAACCCCAAACCCAAGAAATGTGTTCCTGTAGAAGGCAGAGACGCTGGGTTTGGCAGCAATTTAAGCAACCGAAAGTAGGTTGCAGTTACGGTGGAATTGTTCTGACACGTTCGTGTACTGTTCCTCCACAGTGGTGCTTGAGAAAGACAGGCTGAGGGACTTGTTTTAGGGTAACTTCTTTTCCCATCACCTGCAGTACGTTTTGACAGGCACAGTTCAGCTCTCTGGCAGTGCTTTCATGAAATTCCTGGTTTCTTGCGCAGCGTCAGAGCTGTGTGTGCCAGCTAAAGCTGGTAGGGCAGAGTCGGGAGAAGGCAGAGGTTGAATATTTCCTTCTGAGCAGTCACAACTCCAGCCTTTTTCTGCTGTGTGCTGTCAGGGCTGAGAGGCAAAAATGAGGTTTTTTCTCTGTTTTGTTAAAAAAGAGAAGCCCTGCGTTGGGAACATCAGCGCCCCAGTGCTGGAAATTCTAAAGGCATGGTTTTAATTTTGAGGAGAGGGGTGGTCCCAAGGAGAGCACTGAAGCCATCCACATCCACAAGACTGAATTAACACCGTGTGCTCCAGAACTGGTTCCTAGTTTGCTTAAGCTGGTGAAGATAAGGGGTCTGGAATTAATTTTAAACCGGTATTTTGTTTACTAGATTTTCTGGAAAATATCTGGGAAAGAGACAAGAAATCAAGGAAGGTGAAATAGCAAACGTGGCATTGATACTTTTTTTTTTTTTAATTGGACCAGCTAATGCATTTGGGAAAATGGGGTCGGGTTTGATGAAGAGACTCAGAGCCTGAAATGTCCCAGTTTTATGTGTTAGTCAAAGCTACCGTGCTCTTGTCACTTGTCTTTTAAATCAACATGTGTTACGTGATGCTGTTTTCCTTCTCTGGGAAGCTGCATGGAATTGCTCCATTGTTTGTTAAGCATCTCTTGACAAGTTACAGAGATCCAGGTCAGCACCACCGTGGTGTTTTCTACCATGCACGTATGATTTCTTCCCCCTCCAGTTTTGCTTTGCTCCTTCTGTCAGTTCATTCAGTTCTGCAGAGTGCTGGGAAAACATTGTAAAATTATGCTTGAGGTTTGTCTTCTGCCAAGGCAAGGTGCTAGGCAAGCTTTTCCACTCCCAGATAAGTGTTGCTGCAATGGCTTATTCATATATCTTTTTTTTATTATTTTATTTCCCCTGTCAGTGATTCAGACCAGATAACACTGGGAGTTCTTTCAAATGTCCTCAAAATGTGAAAAAAAAGAGTGTAGCAGCCCTGGAGTCATTAACATCAAGTTCATCAGATTTTTCCACTTCTTTCTTGCAGTAATGTGGCCTTTTCATATCTGCTTCATTTCCAGCCAACAGTAATATTTTTGATCCTGGTCTGTGCTATTAATATCACTTGTCTTCTTTTTTATTTTTTTTTAACAGCCATGAGTGAGGTTATTTAAGTTGTGCTTAAGAAACACAAAGTCCTTTCATTTTTATTTTTTTTTTATATAGCTGCATGTTACTCAGACATGTTTAAAGTCTTTTACATACCCGTGGACCACCATGAAAGTGTTTATTGTGCTCATAAGCACACAGCTATGAAATCCTCAGTTCTTGTCATGCTTGCACACATGAGCCAGGTGGAACAGTGTGTTGTTATGTTTTGCACAGTCTCAGACTTATGTGGCTCATAGTGTTGAAAATCTACCTATCAAATGGTAAATTCCTCAGAGACTGTAGCCTGGTTATTGGTGTTACAGTTCATTTAAGTTTATTTCCCTCTTGCCCAGCTTCATTTAGAACTAATCATATTTTTAGTGTTTGATAAGGGAGTGTAACAGTGTTAGATTGAGATCACCTGGAAGACACCACAGGCTCCACACTGGTGTCTTGGGCTGCAGTGCCCTTTCACTTTTCACCCGAGTTTCATGCAAACGAGCTAATTAGATTTGTTTCTTTGCAGCTGAAGCTGTGCCTGTGTGCCAGCACCTCCCTGCACTTCTGAAGGCACATTCCAGGACAGGGATTATTACCTTTATTTGTGTGTTTCCTTCTCCTCCCCATTGCCTTGTTCGCTTCAGTGCAGCCACTCAGCAGTGGGGCCAGACTGTGCCAGCTCATGGGAATGGCTCCAGATTTGGATTTGTTTCAGTCTCTGAACCTTAAAGGTGGATATGTAACCTCTAATATGCAAAACATGCCCATGTATCTTCTTACAGCCTGTGAGAGCAAACCTGACATGTAGGTAAAAGGAACTATCCTTTCTTGTCCCAGGCAAACACCCACCTTGTGTGAGCGTTGGTGAAAATGGGGGATACACGAGACATCTGTCCTCACCTGGATTCCATAGGAGAGGTGACCAGGGATGACCTGCTGCTCAAATCCAAGGTACAGGGTGTTGTGGTTGTTGGTCCTTCCCCTTTTAGCTGTTGTGCATGGGTTTGCATGTTTGCTTTTTGAAGAAAACGCTGCCTGTCTCCAGAGAGAGGCAAAAACTCTCCTTCCCACTCTGCTCTACCCTTCACATGTCCCATAAAGCCAACCTTTATGACCCCACCTTATCTATTCCTCACTGTCATCCTGCTTAAATGTTCATTTAGCTAAAGTGCTGCAAATTGTATATATTTGATTGGGAGTGTGGTATTAAGGAATACTGTGAGCTGCAGTTTGGCAAGGGCTGCCTCACAGAGAAGTTTGCCACTCTTAAAGGACTTGGTTACTTAAAAACCAACCAAGCAAACAAACCTTCTTTTGTCATGAATATGCAGGGAACTTGCCAGTCTTGTGGAGCTGTGGGACCAAACCTCTGGGCTTGTCTTCAGGTAAAAATGGCTTCTTATTTGTGTACATGATGTGGTGGAACTTCACCTGAATAGTAGGAAGCAAAGAGGGGGTTGATAGTGGAACCATCTATGTTTTTTTATGGATTCCAAGGAGGAGACTCCCTAGATGAAAGGGCAATGCTGTCAGAATCTGCCAAGATATAAGGAATTGCCCCTGCAATTCCCAGTAGGAATGAATAAAATGCCCAGTGTTGACTGTGAGCTGCCTCTGCTGGCACCTGTGAAGGGGCTGCAGGGTGACACCTTGGCAGATGTTGCTCAGGGCAGTGAGGAGGGAGGGAATGCCACGGGACATGTGGGTGGGAAGGGGCAGTTTATTTCTACACTGGAATCCCCGTGAGGTTTGAGGCTCCTCAGAGGAGCTGCCTGTTGGAGCAGTGACCTTGGAACAGAGCCTTTATCTGGGTCCAAACCTGGTTCCAGGTTTCCTTTCTTAAATCACTTCTAAATTCCCATGAATTCTAAATTTCCATCTTGTTCTGGGCCCTTAATAAAAAGCAGGTTAGAAAACTGGCAAGATAATTCTGAAGTTGCTGCTGCTGCTGGTGGGACTGGAGTTGCAGACTGTTTTGTGAAGGCTCTAATTTGATGTGCCTGTTGTGTTTTGGCTCTTTTCCCTCTCCAGACTGGTTGTCCTTATGTTGGTTGTGGGGAGTCCTTTGCTGACCACAGCACACTTCATGCACAGGTGAGCTTTCCTCTGTCATCCACGTTTAGACAAGACACAGTTGGATTTTTTCCCCCATTCCTCGCTCTGGTAGTCCTGTGCTTCAAACTGCACAGAGCTGTCAGAGGAGACCCCCTTCACTTCATCTCTTCAATTCTTAGGCCAAGAAGCACAACCTGACTGTGAACCTGACCACGTTCCGTGTGTGGTGCTACGCCTGTGAGAGGGAGGTGTTCCTGGAGCAGAGGCTGGCAGCACACCCGCCCTCCCCCCCGGCCAAGTTCCCTGAACCGGTGGGTCTGTGTCACACAGGGCCAGGGCTGAATGCTTGGCAGGGCTTTTGTTTGCCTGCTGTCAAATTAGCCAAGTGGCTTCTGCTGTTGTGCGGGTTTTGTCGTCACAGGAGCTCTTCCACTGAAAGTAGCCAGAGGGCCAGCAGCCCTGCCTTATAGGGTCTCCCAGCAAAAAGACTTCCAGATGGAAGTCTTTGATTTTTAAGGTCCCTTCCAACCCACACCATTCTACCATCCTGTGATTCTATGGCTTAAATATCTATTCTGACTTTATTTTTAACCCTTCCTTGCCTCTTCCATGGGGTGTCTGCATCTGGGAGGAACCACTGCAGCTGTGCCATCTTCATGGCCCATGGGAGTTTGAGCTGTCAGACCAGAAACACACGTACTTGTGACACTGCTGCTCGTTCCTGATGCCTCTTATCCTGTGTACTGGAAGCAGTAATAGTACAATTTCCTCTCCCTCCTGGCATTAGTGAGAAGGGTAGACAGTGCAACTGGTTCTTCTCTCTCCACAGTGCTTTTCTTAAAGGCTGGCTCCATTTATGTGTGAGATAATATCTCTCACAGCTCATCATTCATTTCTCTCACTGAGACTTACTTCTCTGCCTTTCATCTAGGATTCTCCTTTGCCTGCTCACCCTCTGAAAGCTGTTCCAATTGCAGTGGCTGATGAGGGCGAATCTGAATCAGAGGATGATGATTTGAAACCAAGAGGTAACTTTGCATCCCATGGATGAAAGGGCTGGGAGGGCAACTCTGCAATCTCTAGGACCTGCACTGGGAGGTTCCTGGGAGCAGAGTGTGGAGACTGTCTAGAAAGGGCTGGATTCCCTGTCCTTTGGGGAGGAATATAGAAAGCAGCATGTCTGGAAAGTGATTCATCCCTCTCTTGTTTGTGCTTTAGGCCTTACTGGAATGAAAAATCTTGGGAACTCCTGCTACATGAATGCAGCACTTCAGGCTCTCTCTAACTGGTAGGCGTGAGGGCCTTCAGTGGCATCCTTCACTAAATACCAAAAGTGTCACCTCTGATCTGAAACCTTCAAGAGTCTTGCAAAGAGAGATCAGCCAGGCTAAGGGCAGAAAAAAATAGTGTTTGTTTAGGGCAACAGAAGTGTTACAGCAGGAAATTGCTTGAAGTAAAATTGCATCATTTCTGTTGCAACAGAAAGCATTTATCTTGTGAAAAGCCATGTCACATCTCTTTATTCTCCCCAGTGATATCATTCTAACAACCCATATCCTAAAATATTCTCTAGCCATCCTGCTGAGGACTAATTCCAGGACCTCTTCTCTGTACTGGGAACAGGTTCACATCAGCCTTTTCCATTTGTTTCAAGTTAGGACTCAGGTCTGCATCTGGAATCACTTCCTCCCTTGATTTAGAAGCAGTACCTTAAGCATGCTTTTGATATAAGGCCTGCATTTAAATTTTAATAAACCCTTAAGTAGAAGCAGAGGAGAAACTTCTGAATCCTTCTCTTCCCTCTCTTGTAGCCCACCTCTCACACAGTTTTTCCTGGAATGTGGTGGACTGGTCCGTACAGATAAGAAACCTGCACTGTGCAAAAGTTACCAGAAGTTGGTGTCTGAGGTTTGGCACAAGAAACGGTGAGTGGCCACCTCTAATCTGTTCTGGCCAGGCTTCATAGATGTATTAGTTCTGAGATCTGGATGGAAGAAGTGATGCAGAGATTTTTTTACTGAAGAGAGTGGAAAATGCAGGTGACATTTTGGGAAGTGTTTGCTACTGATTCAAATTTAGACCAGTTCAAATTTAGACCAGTTCAAAGGACAGTGCAAAATTGTGCAGCTCTGTTAAAATCTGAAGATGTCTGCTCTGTGCAATCAATTTAAAACCATCAAACTAGGAATTTAAATGGCATTGCATGGTTGCCTCATGTTTCTTTTTAACAAGGCCTAAGTAGGATACAGAACCAAAGTGAACTGTGTCTTTTTGGAGGAGGAGGCTGTAGCCTGTGAAGCAATATCTCATCATTTTGATCTTGGTTTGATTCACCCCGTTTTCTGGGTGGTCAGCCCACCCAGATTTTGAGCCAGACATGGTGCTGCAGAATCCAACCAAGAAACTCTAATTGCCAAACCCTGCTCTGGAAAGAATCAGTTGAGAGCATTCAAAGTGTGGACAGAGCTGTAAGTGAAATGTGCTCTGGGGAGGAGCCTCTCTGGAAGGACAGACTGAAATGGCTGCGAGGTGTTTTCTGTCTCTTGGTGTGTTTGTCATCCAGCTAATGCAGAAATCTGTGCCCAGGCTTTGCAGGTGCATAATTATCTTTTGTCCTCTTTAACTGATCACCACGCCCTCTGCTATGGCCTATTAGACAGACTGGCTCCAGGCCCAATAAGCAAACTAACTCATTTTTTCTTTTTCCATGTCTAAACAGCCCGAGTTATGTTGTTCCAAGCAGTCTATCCCATGGAATTAAACTGGTCAACCCCATGTTCCGAGGCTATGCACAGCAGGTGGGGCCTGAAAAAATCCCTCCATTCCAGAGAGGGTGGGATTTTAATTCCTGCAGTGGTGGTGCTTGTGTTCAGAAGGAAGAGCTTGAGCTCAGGGGTCATGGCCTTTTTGTGTCAGTATCAGTGAGTTTGTAGACTGGGCTGGGATTTGGGAGACCTGGGTTCTTGCTGGTTCCAAATCAGTTTGTTTTCTTGTGTCAGCTTGCTCACCTCTGAAATTATGATGGTCAAATCCTTTATAAACAGCTTTGAGGTCTATTGATACCTGCCATATAAGAATTTGGTATTATTTATTCACATCAGAGCTGAAAAACCTGGATAAATCTGTACTAAAAAGTCAAAAGATGTGAGAGTTCTATATTCTTTCTCTGGGGAATCACAGCAAACTAAATCTTATATAAAGATAGTATCTTTTTTTTTTCTTTGAAGTCTTTATCAGTGTAGCTGCTCTGTTTGTTCTTTAGAATCAAATGTAAACAAAAAACTATGATTCAAAAATTTGCAAGAGAAGTGACAGTACATCTAAACCATGATAGTGACAAGAAATCAAAACAGAGGATAAAAATAATGATTAATGAAAGAACTTCTATATCTGTCTTTGATGTGAAGTACATTGGCTTGGAAAACTCTCATCTCTAAAGAGATAAAATTGAAGGCAGGGCAGGCTAAAAGCCAAACTTCATAAAATAACAGAAACATCATAATTAACTCTCTGGAGTTGTCAAAATACCAAGTTGCTTTCCAGCAGCTCCTTTGAAGCCAACATATCAGCTCTTTTAGCATGTATTATGAATGTAGGAGCTTGCACCTGGATTGTATAGCCTTGGTTCCATTCCTAGTTTATTAAAGATTTTAATCTGCCCTCTCTAAGGGATGGATTACCCTGAGCAGAAGTGAGTGTTCATAAAATTTATTTGTGGGTGTTTGTCTGTTCTCCAGGGCTTCCTGTTTTCATCAGGTTTCTCCTTGCCTCTTATCAGTGGCAAGCCCCTGACAAATAAGCTCCTGGTTTGCAGGCTGCTCTCTGGCTTTTCAATGTCTTTCAGCTGAAGATATTCAGATAAAAAAAAAATTGGGCCTTTTATTATTTAGGAGTTAATAGCATTTCTGTTGCAGAGAGGCCCTTTGGTATGTGGGCATGGCCCTCTCTCTGCTTTAGCAGAGCTGCAGAGCTGGTTGACCTTTGTGGGCAGTGTTGGAACAGGCTGAGAGTGGAGCCCCTCTTTGCCCCCCCCCTCTCATTTGCCCCATTTCTGGCTGGATACTGACATGGAATCACTTGGTTTTCAGGACACTCAGGAGTTCCTGCGGTGCCTGATGGATCAGCTCCACGAAGAACTGAAGGAACCAGTTGTTGCAGAGACGAGGGATTTGGATACCATTGAGCAGGAGGACAAGCGGGAGGGGGACCGGAGCCCCTCGGAGGATGAGTTCCTGTCCTGTGACTCCAGCAGTGACAGGGGTGAAGGGGAGGGACAAAGTCGGACCACAGGGAGCATGGGGAGTGGCTCCCTGGCAGAGACAGAGCTGCTGATCCAGGATGAAGCAGGGAGAGGGATCTCTGAGAAAGAAAGGATGAAGGACAGGAAGTTCTCCTGTGGCCACCGGCGCAGCAACTCGGAGCAGGTGGATGAGGATGCAGATGTTGACACTACTATGATGCCAGTTGATGGCAGAGCCTCACCTGAGATGCTGCCAGCTCCCCGTCCTGCCAGCCCCTGTAGGACACCAGGTACACCCCTCTTCCAGTCAGGATATCTCTGAGAAGATGAGTTACATCCTGCCCAGGGACTGTGGTGTGGTGCAGTGGCAAACCACACATAATGTGACTGTTCCTTCTCTGGGTTTCAAAAGATTTTGTATGCAGAGTTTTCCTCAGTCCTGCCTTTGTCTATAAGAAAATACACTAGGTGAGCCAGAGAGGTGCTTAGCCAGGCCAAAGTGCTGTGAGCTGAGTAAAGGCACAGCATTGTCTTTACCTGCCTCTGCCAAACCTGCAAACACTGTATTTATGCCTTTTAAGAAAAAAGGCTTTTTATGTTTACGTTGCTTTATTTGATACTCTGGCCTGGGGAAATAATAGCTGTGGAAAGGGCATGGGAGAAGGTGTGTGTTATGTTGGACTGTGGGCTTTGGGGAGAGAAAAGGGAGAGGCACAGTTTGTGCATTTCTGTCTCGGGGAAAAGAAAAGAGCAGCAGTGTGGAGTCACCTCAAGCTGAACATACCCGATCTTTCAACGCTTCTTTATGTAAGAGCCTTACTCTGCCAGCTGGCACTGAAGGCAGCAATGCTGTTTGTGTGGATTAGGGCTACAGGAGCAAGCTGCAAAACCTAATTAGTCATCTAAGTGTGAAAAAATGGCGGGTTGTTTTGGGGGGATTTTTAGTCTGTGATTATTAGCTGTTCAGTACAGCTCTGTGTGCACTCTCACCCATGCTCTGAGGGAGCTGTGTCTGCCAGCCTGTGCAAGCAGGACAGTTAACAGGCACTGAACTGTGCCTTTGGAAAAGGTTCTGTGCTGGAATGCAGAGCTGGGCTGACACCGATGGCAGTGGGGTTGCCTTTCATAACTGGGGTTTTCACCAGTGCCCTTTTCCCTCCCTGTTTTCCCCAGTAGAGCCTGACAATGATGCCTACGTGCGCTGCTCCTCACGCCCCTGCAGTCCCGTTCATCATGAGATGCACTCCAAGCTCTCCAGCAGCCCTCCTCGCTCCAGTCCTGCCAGGATTGGACCTTCCTATGTCCTCAAGAAAGGTAGTGCAGAGAGGGATTACTGGGAGGCAAAGGGGGGGGCACATAGAGGAGGAGGGGAGAGAAGGAATCCATCGTGATTCTTGATTAACAGATGTAAAAAGTGCTGATTCCCCTGGACATCAGTGCGTTCTAAAATAGTATTTGGCAAAGACTACAGTAAACCTGCAGGTAAAGTCAAGCTCTGGGCACAACAATGTTCTAGTTTGTTCTTACACTGGAGCCTGAAATGATCTCCATGTCTGGATCTGCTGTGTTTGTCATGAATAAAATGGCTCTGAAGTCCCAGGCACAAGCTCTGTCCCTTCAGGGGAGTGGGGAGATGCAAAAACATTTGTCTGCCAGACTTGAATTTCATAGCATGTGGGCCTGAGGACTGTAAGATGTTGTTACTGACAGAGCTTCCTGCCTCTTGGACAGCTTGGGCTCACAAGAATGGAATTAAGGCTGCAGATGTCCCTCAGTGCTGGGAGCACTGTCAGGCTGCAGTGGAGCCTGGCTTGGGTTGTTATCAAACCAGTCTCTTCATCCCACAGCACACTGCAAATCCAAATCCCTCCACATTGCATAGTCTACAAACACAATGGCATGTGCTTGTACCACTGTCCCTACAGCTGTTCCATGAGGACATTCTCTCTTCAGCTGTGTCCCAGCCCCCTGGCTGAGGTCAGCACAGCCGCAGATGTTCTGGCTGGATGAAGGGTACTCTGTCTCTGTGCACATGTGTGTGGGAAGAGGGTTTGTTATTAAACAAAACTTTGCATTTGGCCAGTCCCTGTTGTGGAGAATCCTCACCAGTGCAAGAAACCTGGGGAACACGTGGCCAGAGGGGGGGAAAAAGAAAAAAAAAAGGACAAAGTACAGAGACAGGTCAGGGGGGAGAGGAGGTAAAGTGCAAAGCTTAGAGCAAAATGTCGCAGGACTTAAAAAAAGCAGGGGCTGTCTGTGGCAGGGCCAGGCTTCTAAACATGTAAGAGGATGGAAACAGGATTTCCAGTAAGACAATTTCTGCCTCCTGAGAGCTGGCACGCTGCTGTTGGTTCAGTTGGCTGCCTCCCCCTTTCTTATATCACACACAGCAGCAGTGTCCTCCGTGTCCCTGCACTACAGGCTCCACCATCTCCCTGTCACGCACGTGGGGTCTGACCATCAGCACAGTGCTTGTCTCATGTTCTTATGAGACTGTGTGACTCTAGAGAGACAGGAGACTGAGAGGGAGTTACTCCACAGTGGGGCTTCCTTGTCTTTCAGCCCAGATGCAGGCTTCTGGGAAAAAGAAGAAGGAACTCCGTTACCGCAGTGTGATTTCCGACATCTTCGACGGCTCCATCCTCAGCCTGGTGCAGTGCCTCACGTGTGACAGGGTGAGTCTCCCGGGCCCTGTCAGCCTCACAGCACAGCTTTCAAGCTTGTAGATCCCTTCCTAGGGAATGGTGTTGCTCTTTCCAAACCCTGGGATGCAGAGGCCTGCTAAAATGGGGATGGGTGATGGCAGGGGAGGTGTGAGGACCTGCCATGCCAAGGAGACGTGTTTCTCTGTAGGGGTCTGTTTGCAGATCCATGTTACTGAGTTGGCCCAGGATATCAGATTCACATTAGGAAATGGAATCCAGTGCTACAAAAGCCCTGACAGAAGTCAGTCTGCTGACAGCAGGGAAGAATAATTAGCCAGAGCAAGTTGCTCCTACTGCCAGCTCAGGTTTCTAGCCTAGACAAAATCCAAGCAGTGATAAAAGGTGATGAAGGTCAGGTCCCATCTCCATTACACACACAGGAAACCCAGACCTCTTCCTCTTGGATATTTCCAGGTTTCTACAACAGTGGAGACATTCCAGGACCTGTCACTCCCAATCCCAGGGAAGGAGGACTTGGCCAAGCTGCACTCTGCCATCTACCAAAACGTGCCAGCTAAGACAGGGGCATGTGGGGACAACTATGCCTCACAAGGCTGGATTGCTTTCATCATGGAGTATATCCGGAGGTGTGTTCCCTGTGCAGGACATCTTTTTTTCTGGGGTTTGCCCTGCAGTGCTGGAAGGCAGCTATCCTTAACTAGTGGCCAGTTGGAACCATTCCTTGGAGGACAGCATGTGGCATCTCACAGGGCTTTGAGCCTTTTCATGTAAACCAGTTGTTACCATTGCTCTAGTTCTGTCACACACCTTGAGAGCTCTTGTGCAGCTGATCATCCCTCACTTCTGCCCTCCAGAGCAAATTAATTCCTGGTTTAGTTTTCCAAATCATTTCCAGTTTGAGCAGTCACAGTAGGAACATCAGCTGAGAGCAGTCCTGCCTTCCCTGCTCCTCTGGGATGTAGGATGAGCTTAGGAAGGAAACCCATCATCCATTTGGGGTTTTGTACACCAAAGCATTCAGCTGTTTTAGGTACAACTCTTAATCACTTCTCCTCTGCAGGTTTGTGGTGTCCTGTATCCCTAGCTGGTTTTGGGGTCCCGTGGTGACACTGGAGGATTGCCTTGCTGCCTTTTTTGCAGCAGATGAGTTGAAGGGTGAGTTTTCTTCAGTGGGGTCTGACAGCACAGAGATGCATTTTGTGTGTGTTTTGGAGGCAAATTAAAGCTCTGACAAATCCTGCCTTATCATGTCACTTAGAGGGTGGCAGTACCAAAAGTTGGCAGCTCAGCATCTCTGTGCAGGACTGAGTTTTCCCACCTGCTCAGGAGTGGGAAATCTGGGTGAGAGTGTCCTCAGCAAGGAATAGCTGTTGGTTGGTTGAGTGCTGTGGTTACTTAGTTCCTTTGCTTTCTCCACCAACTTCTTAAGCTCTAGAGGACTCAATTTGCTCTTTGTGTGTTGGTGGTGGGCAGTTCCATACTTTCCTGCTAGTTGCATTCTCTTCTTGCCCACACTTATTGAGAGGAATTGTTTTGATCTCCTCTCATCCTGGCTTCCCCAAGAGGCTCTGAACATGGTTTCTCTGCACTCACTGGAAATGTAGCTGCACTTCATTGGAAGTGTCAGCCTTGTGTGCTCTGAGCAACTGTATAATGGCTCTCTTCTCTCTGTCTGCAGGGGACAACATGTACAGTTGTGAACGGTGTAAGAAGTAAGTCGGCATTATCTGTATAGTGTTGCTTTTCTGGAACTTTATTTCTCTGTATTGCTGTCAAATATTTTGCTGTGCCCTCTACCTGGACATCTCTTCTGCTGGAATTCAGGATTTGTCTTGGATTCCAAAGTGAGCAAGACCCAGCCTTGCCTTTTGGCATCCCTTTGCTTCAGAGGGTTCTCACAGCTCGTTCCTTTTCCTCCCCCAGGCTGCGGAATGGAGTGAAGTACTGCAAAGTCCTCCGGCTCCCAGAGGTGAGTGAAAGCACCTTGTTCTCTAGTTCTCTTTTAGCAGCCCTGAGGAGGTGGGGAGGCCAGAGGTGGAACAAAACCAGCAGTTTGTATCTAGACCAGATGAGGCTTTCCCATTCTAATCTGAGGAGCCAGCAGGAAGATCAGACACACAGAGATGTGCTGTGTTACCAGAACAGCCACAGTAACACTGGGCTCTGGTGTCCTCTGTCCTTGGTCTTTCAGATTCTCTGCATCCACTTGAAACGGTTCCGGCACGAGGTGATGTATTCCTTCAAGATCAACAGCCATGTCTCCTTCCCCTTGGAAGGGCTGGATCTGCGACCCTTCCTGGCCAAGGAGTGTGTCTCCCAGATCACCACCTACGACCTCCTGTCAGTCATCTGCCACCACGGCACAGCAGGCAGTAAGTCCTTCTGCTGGGAGCACGGGCAGAGGAGCAGCAATGGGAGGAGTGTGTTCAGGGCTAGCCAACACCTCTGCTGGGCTGAGGGGCAGTGTAAGGCCACCCCCCTCCATTCCCAGCCTTGTGCAGCCTCTGCCCTTTGCAAGTGAACCAAGCAACCTTCTGACAGATCCCCTGCAGCTATTTCAGCCTCACTATGGGCTTGGCTCAAACCCTTTCCCAGTGTTCAGTCTTGCTGAGAGGCTCTTACAAGGCAGGCAAATCAGGGTGACAGTGCCAGGCTCTGCTGCTCCTGCAGAGCTTGCCTGAACAGGAATTATCCTTTTTTTTTTTTTTTTTTTGTGTGTGTCTGTCTCTCTGTTCTCTGCCAGCAGCTAATCCTGTTTGTGCTGCTGACATTATCCCAGGCCTGCCTTCTGTCTGCACTGTGAATCCCAGCAGGGCTGTGTTCTCTGTTCCAGGTGGCCATTACATTGCCTACTGCCAGAACGTGATCAATGGCCAGTGGTACGAGTTCGACGACCAGTACGTCACCGAGGTGCACGAGACCGTGGTGCAAAATGCAGAAGCCTATGTCCTGTTCTACAGGTGAGCTGAGCCCTGCTTACAGGAGACCTAGAAATGCATTTCACAAACTTTGAGTTTTCAGGAATTGTTTAATTTTCTTCTCCCCTCTGCAGGAAGAGCAGTGAAGAAGCTGTGCGAGAGCGCCAGAAGGTCGTGTCCCTGGCCAGCATGAAGGAGCACAGTTTGCTCCAGTTCTACATCTCTCGAGAGTGGCTCAATAAATTCAACACCTTTGCTGAGCCTGGGCCCATCACCAACCACACCTTTCTGTGCTCCCATGGAGGTAAGGCTGCTGGACCTGGGAGCAGCACCTCTTGGCTGTACCTTTGTTTCCTGGTGCATGAACAACTGCAGGAAAATGCTCCAGCTGCCATTCTGATACAGGGGATGCTCCAGTGGGATCCTCTTTGGCAGAAACTCCAGCCTGCTCAGGAAGGGATGAGACAATTACCCATTGTGCTGCTGGTCAGAGGCCTGAGGGGGATGTTTAATGCTGGGAAACATCAGTTTTCAGTTCTCTGTGTTTAAAAACAAACCTGGAGAAAGCAGATAGGGCAGCATTTATCTGTGTTACCCTGTCAGCAAGGCTGGCCCTCAGGGTTTGTTTGGAGAATGGAGCTGATACTATATCTGACTCTTCTGCTGCTTCATCAGTCATGCTGGGGAGCACTTGTGTTTGTAAATCTCTCACTGGAATTGAAGCACTTGGTTAGAAATTGAGGCCGTGAATTGAGAAATGTCCACAGCTGATGAACTCTTGACTGTTTTCTATTAGCAGAGGGAGCAGAATCTGGAATCAGAGTTTTCAGAAAGGAAAATCTGCCTTTTTATTTGTGTCTATTTTACACAGCAGTGAGTTCCCTGATTAACTCTTCCCTTTGCCTTTCCTCCACAGGGATCCCTCCTAATAAATACCATTACATCGATGATCTGGTTGTGATTCTGCCCCAAAACGTGTGGGAATATCTCTACAACAGGTGAATGTGACCATTTCATTCTTTCTCCCAGTATTTGGTAGAGTTTCCTGATCTAAGTCAGAATAAGCTGGACCAGTGCCTGTTCCAGAGCACTGGGTGGTCCTCAGTGGTTGAGTGAAGGCAGCTCTGCCCTCGGCTACAGATGCACCTCCTTCACCAGTGTGTGCAGTAGTAAATAATCCATGTCTGTAGGATGCAGGGCTGGGAAGCATTTCCATTCTGCTGCAGCTCCCCATTCCCCTCTCTCCCTGTGCTCAGGTTTGGGGGTGGCCCTGCTGTGAACCATCTGTATGTGTGCTCCATTTGCCAAGTGGAGATCGAAGCGCTCGCCAAGCGCAGGAGGATCGAAATCGACACCTTCATCAAGGTTGGCATGGGAAGCATCTGGAAGGAAGGCAAAGGGTGGAGGGGGGAAATGGAGACCTGGAAAACTCCTGCCAGTTTTCCAGAACATGATCTACAGCATGGGCAGGAGGTTGGCCTGGGGGTTCCCCGGTGCTGGCAGCACAGGGGAAGGGCAGCTGGGACGTGAAATTGCTGTGCAGGCACAAAGTGTGAAACCATCCTTGTCTCTTGCCTGCTCTGGTGAGCAGGAACAGGGTGAGGAGGGAATTATGTGGGGTTCTGCTGGAGAATGGCAAGGCTGCCTTTGGGGAAGGGGCCCCCTGAGATCTCAGGAGTGACTAAGTCCTTCCTGCATGTCTCTGTTCTCTGCTCTCCCAGCTGAACAAGGCTTTCCAGGCAGAGGAGTCTCCAAGTGTCATCTACTGTATCAGCATGCAGTGGTTCCGGGAGTGGGAAGCCTTTGTCAAGGGCAAGGATAATGGTAAGGATCAGAGACCAGGGATCTGCCAGGGGTGAGGGGTGGAATGGAAATGAGTCCATTTGTTGGGTCCTGGGTGAGCACTGCCCTGGCTGCGGTGACGAGGCTGAGCAGAGTTCAGACACCAGCCCCCCTGACTGCCTGCAGGTTCCCAGAAATGACAAGAGAACCAGCTCAGGAAAGCAGCTGGATCTGGAGGCAATAAGGAAAGTAGATGGTTTTTGACATGTTTGTTCCCCTGCAGAGCCTCCTGGACCCATTGACAACACCAAGATTGCCCTCACAAAACCAGGTGGCCACGTGCAAGTCAAGCAGGGTAAGGCTTGTGCTTCTACCTTGTAGTGTTCCTGAAGGGGGAGGAGACTGTTCCACTGGATCTGGGTGTCCATAATGAAGCAGTCACAGAGCAAGATGGTGTTGCAGAGAAGGACAGTTCTCTGCCCAACCCCATTCTGCCTGCCACTGAGCCAGTTCTCCAGTGGCAGCTCTTCCACGACCAGCTTGCTGCTGTGGCTGGTTCCTGCAGCTGCTCCCCAGGCCCCTTCCACCATTCCCCTTCGTGGTGTAGCTTGGATCCTGTGTTGCTTTGGACTTGGTCTTTACTCAGCATCTGTTGTGGTGCAGCTTCTGAAGTAAAAACAGCCTCATGTGCCCAGGGAAGTTTAGATTGGATATTAGGAAAAATTTCTTCAGGGAAAAGGTGGTCAAGGTTTGGAACAGGCTGCCCAGGGCAGTGATGGAGTCGCCATCTCTAGAGGGATTTAAAAGACATACAGATGTGGTGACTGGGGACGTGGATTAGTGATGGACACCCTGGAGCCCTGCTGCTTCCAGGAGGTGGCACTGTGGGGGCTGCAGCTGTACTGGGTCAGCAGGGTGGGGGCTTTGGTAGGGACCACCAGTGCCTCCTCTTCCTGGGGTGAGCCGTGCAGGGGAGGTGGCTGGAGAGAACGTCCTCGCGTTGTGGGGCCTCATCCTTTCCCTCCTGGATCAGTGCTGTTGTCCCTTCCAGGCGCTGACTACGGGCAGATTTCCGAGGAGACGTGGGTTTATCTGAGCACACTGTATGGAGGGGGCCCCGAGATTGCCATCAGACAGAACGTGGCCCAGGTCCAAGAGCTGGAGAACCACCACGGGGAGCAGAAGATCGAAGCGGAGACGCGCGCGGTGTGACCTGTGTGGGACGGGGCAGGGAAGGCACAGACACCTCTGTGTGGGGGTGGAGGGCTGGGGAGTCCTGAGGGGTCAAACCTCTTCTTGTCTGGTACTCGAAGGTGTGTGCAGCTCCCCCCAAACTCCTGGGGCAGGCAGGCTTCCTCCTCATCCTTTCAACGCGGCTTTGAGCACAGGGTGGTGCTGGGATGGACTGGGAGAAGGCTCTAACTCGCCTCTGGATGAAGCCATGGTACGAGGCTGCAGCCACACCTCCCGAGGGTTGTCCTGACCCGAGCCCTCCCCCTTGCCTTTGCTTACAAGAAGCCAGCACTCCCAGCTTGTCCCCAGTGCACCGATCTCTGCTCCTGTGCAGGTTTTGCTTTTGGCACTTTTCTTTTTAACTCAAATGTATGAAGACAATGAAATGTTATTATTTATGTTTCCAGCGGGCAGTGTTGCAAGTAGAGAAACCTGTTGTTTGAGGCTGAGGAAAGCCACAGTCTCCCTGGGGTTTTGTGCTGGTGGTGCACAGCTGTCACAACTTCCTAGTTTTTGCTCTTTATCAAATTCTTGCAAATTCGGTTGCAACCAACTAAGAAATTTGGAAAGAGGCTGTTCCTTTCTCCTCTCGCTCCCAAAACCTCACCTTCATGGTCCTGCAGAATTCTATTTTCTCCTTCTGTCTGATTTCACCTGTTCAGCACAGTTTCAGAGAACAGAGCTGGAAGGTGAGTCTTCCTTCCCACTGCCCTCTTCCTGCTGAAGCTCCTGGCACTGTGGAGCTGTGGGCTGGAGCCTCTGGGGGTGCAGCTCAGGGGGTGGTACCTGGAAGGCTGGGCTGGGCACAGCACAGCTCTCATGCAGATTTTGGAACTCCTTGCTTCTAACCCGGTTCTCAGACTGACCCTGCCATAAGCTGTGTCTCCACATCTGTCACGACAAGCAGAGGGGTGGGAAGGCTGAGGAAGGGCTCCTCTGTTCCCACAGAGCCCATTCTGAGGGGTCACCCTTGGCTGGGCAGGGCCCAGGCTGGGGAAGCAGCTTTTTAGGACTGAGCTGCTTCCTGCTAAGGAGCCCCCACCTGTGTGCTGAGGTCATTCCAGATGTCCTTTGTGTATACAGTGGCTCACTTAATGAATTGCTCCCCATCTATTGCCACCAGTACAGCCAAGGAGCAGCTGATGGAGGCAGTGGAGACAGGAATGAAGGCAAAAAAGGCCAAACTCCACTTTTCGCAGCAGAGCTACTCTTAAAAAGATTTTCATTCATCTTGTAAGGCAGAAAGGCAAGAGTTAAATATTTGCAAGGCTTTGAGTGAGGTTTAGTGGAGGCAGAGAAGGAAGAGGTGCCTCCCATGGCCTGAGGAACAAAACTGTGTTTTTGTGGTGCTGGATGATTGCACAGCATCCAGTCTGGCCTTAGTGGTGCCAGACTCCATGTGGGGCTGGGACCTCCCAAGCTCCTCACCTGAAAAAGAGAGGGGAGGGAGGGGGAGGGAAAGGCTGCTCCTTGACTTAGAGATAGAAGGGGGTAGGACAGGAGAACTTCAGAAGAAAAATGTGGCCTTCAGATTATTTATTCCTTTTTTTTTTAGATCAAATGTTTGCTGCAAACAGCAGCTTCTTTACAAACTGTCTGTAAACGGTTCAGCATGTTAATTTTACAGTCCTGTTTATGGGATGCTTGTATAGACCCAGACAGGCCCGAGGGGGAGGTCAGAGAATGAGCCACTGTTGGGATTCTCATTGTTCCAAGCTGTCTTTTGTCCCCCACTGCAGCAGCCCTGGGATCTGCTGCAGAGCCTGCAGGGCTGCATGTCCGTGTTGTCCGTGCGTCCGGAGGGTGCTGTACAGACTGTAAGACACTCCTGTGCTTAAGTGTTAGACCTTGTGCTGAAAATGTGGTACAATAAATACATGTGCATTCAACACGCTGCTGCCTGGGGCCTGCCTTGCCTGGGGAGAGGGACTGGCAGCTCCAGGGAGCCCGGGGTGGGAGCAAGGGAGAAAAATTAAAGAAGAAAAATTAAAATCCAAACTTCCTGCTGCCCAGAGGTCATATGGGTTCTTCTGGGTAGCAATGAGCTTCAGTAGCCTGAGGCTACTAAATCATCCTGTGCTGGTTCAGAGGGTACCTGCCCCTTCAGTCTCTACTTACAGACATCCCTTCACCTTTCATTTACCCCATTTCACCTGAGTGTGCCTCAGAAAGCCTGGGGGCTCTGGAAACACATGTTCATGACCATCATTACTATTCTGGAAGTAACTTGCAAGGGAAGGAGTTTCATTGAGCTGTTCTAGGATTCTGCAAGAGAGTTTCCTGTCACTGCTTTGTGGCTGAGATGTCCCTGCTGATACCATTCCCCTTCCTTGGTAACACACAGCAGCTTTGGCACCAGGGAATGCCAGGCTCTCACCCCTGAGAATTAACAGTTTCTAAAGCAGCCTGAGGGCTGGAGAAGCAGGAGTTCCCTGCCCAAGTGGTGAGTGACACAGCCTCAGCTGGAGCCTGAAATGTCTGAAGCAGCAGAGCTCGAGCTGGGTTAACGAGAACATGGAGCTTGTTCTTGAGCAACGTGGAATCAACTGTCAAACCCTGCGTCTCACAACCAAACCTGTCACCTGAGCAACTGCTGAACAGCTCCAAACCCTCCTGGAGACACCAAACACCCTCCCACAGAGGGGACTGGTTACAGTCCAAACAGCTCTAGGGCTGCTCTGGCAAAGCCATAACTGTACTGCCTGTTACTCTCTGCCTGTTCAAGCACTCAAGGGTCAGTTCTGCATCCAGATTCCATCTGAAATCCCACTGCAGCCAAGCCTTCCTCCAGCTCCACTGGAGAAAGCTACAGCATTTCTGAGCACACCTCAGGTGCAGCTCTGGCTCTGGGAGCCATTGCCAGCACTGAGCTCTTATCAGTTCTTTTTGCAAATCATTTTCCCCTTATTTGATGAGGTCCCTTGCTGATTGCAAAAAAGGTGAGATGAAAGAACTGCCTATGCCTTGGACTGATGGGAGTGCCAGTTCAGTTCACAGGTGCTGCTCCTCTTCCCCATGAGCAGAACAGAGCTGTGACAGGTGACAAACCCTCTGCCACACCTGCCCCACACTCTCACCTGTCCTGCCTCAGCCCGTGGGAAGGGGAATTGGCTCTTCCTCTGGAGATGCAGCACCCACATAGCTGCAGTTTCACCTGCTTGAGCCCACGAGGCCACACCTTGCTGGGTGGGACCTCCCCACCCTCCCCCACGGCCACAGCACACCCACCCATCAGTGACAGCCCAGACACAAAAAGCTCATTTCATTTTCTTCTCCCTTATTGCTCAGCTTGGCTCCCACCCCCCCAGCCCTCACTCACCCCTTTAGTTGTGCTGTTTCTATTTAAAGTCAGCAGTGCTGATTCTGTGAAAGATAAATCCAAGTCAGAGCCAGAGGGACACCCCCTCCTATTCATTATTGCCCAAAACCACAAAGACCAGCAGCCTGTCACAAACAGCCTCGATTTGTCCTGATCTGACAAGGGTGTTAATTAGTGCTGGCAAAGAACAACTGAAATCCTGCTTAAAAAAAAAAAAAAAAGGAAAAAGAAAAAATAAGGGCAGCTTAAGCAACTTTATCTTAGAAAAAGAAATAATCTGCAGATTATTTCTCAGATAAAATTACCAGCCAGGTGTCACCTACTGAGAGGGACAACCACAAACCTTGGTGGTCCCTGGATGGGCTGTTTCCAAAGAACTGGACAAAGGGGTGATGGAGAAGCTGGGCAGAAGCCAGAGGGGTTTTTGTCTCAGCTAGAGACACACACACTATTCACCAACCCTGCATGTTAAAATGGAATTGTACACCTTGGGCAGACTTACAGAAATGTGCCTGGTTTTCAGATTACTCGGGGAAGGGAGGCATTGCTGTGTTTGACACACCTGCATGTCCACACAGCCAGGCCCAAATCCATTACTTGCCAGGCTTGCAACAGGTTGTTTTAATATACAATCAATCCACATTAAAAAAGAAAAAAATCTGCCCAGACTTCCAGCCAAACCAAAACACTCCATGGTACAGCTCTCTCTGCTGAGTTTCCCCAGCTTTCCAGTTCTCACAGATTCCTACTAAAGTGGGAAAAAGCACAAACCACCTGCCCTTCCCAACACCAGCTCCAGCCAGAACAGCCCATGTTTTTCTCCTCAGATGACCAATTAAAAAAACAACTCAACCACTGCATTCTCTCCTCAGTGCCAGCTGGAAAGGTAAAAGTTTGATAATATCATTGTCTCAAAGCGACCTGATATGAACAGGGGACAAGTCAGAGCCAAATTAATACTTCAAATGCCTGAAAATTCCAGTGGGAAATAATAAGAAATAAAATTAAAAAACCCAAACCAAAACAAAACCACAAATCTGGTTTATCAAAAGGGTCCAGCGAAACCATATTTCTGGAATTAAATGTTTATTTAAATATGCAGATGACTGTTTCATTGCTACAAGGTCAATATTCGCTTTCAAATGGAAGCACTTTATTTGGTTGAATTCTGTCTCCAGAAATGAATGGGCAACACCAGAACCTTTTACATTGGCAATGAAATCACAACACTGAGATGCCACCGAAGTCTCGAGATCAGTGCTCAAACACACATACACACACGTACACAAATAAAAAAGTGCTCGACATCATCATGTTAAAATAGAATTTTGGCTTCTTTTAGGTCTTTTGACATTTCAGGCAGGAAAACAAAAACCAAAGAACAATATGCATCAAACTATATGAACTTCTGAAAAATACTCAGCATTAAACACAACTTTTGAGTATCAGTAAATATGTTTCTTCTCTATTTACACGTGTTAAGAAAGGGCATTAGAGACTTTTGCTGGGGATCATGTGATCTCATAGATGTACAAGTCCATGCTGCTGGGCAAGATTAGTAAATTCAAGCAGAGTTTTTATAAACCAGTCACATATCTTTAGTTCTTCAGCATTTGCCAAAGGTGAATTCTACAAAAATTCCTCACTCATTACCCTGGATAACGGCAGCAGAATAAACGTGTGGAGGCTACAACACATGACTGTCACTGCTTTTGAAATAAGCTTTAAGACCCAGGCTTTTGGGAACTAGTTGCCAAGTTTATAAAAACTCCATACATGGTCTTTCAATAAAACTTTGCGAGTCAACCAGTCAGCTAAAGCTAATGCTCCTTCTACAGCACAATTGAGCAACACAGACATTGCAATTGTTCCAATGTTCCACAGAGGCTGACAATAATATACTGTCCACCCAGATTAAATATAGAAAAGCAAACTTTGATCTAATTTTTACATAGATGGCACGACAATAGGTGAAAATGAATTCTTAGCTGCTGATTCAACAGTGCATTGGACACGAGAATAAAAATACTGCAGCTAAAAAATATTTTAAGGATATTTTCGCACCCCCTTTACCTGCTCAACCCTTTAAGATCCCCCGAGGGGGATGCCACAAAGCCTTTGCACAAATCTTTGCACAAAGCCACAGGTGCCAAGTGTGTGCATCCCCCTTGGAGTCTCATGGATCTAAACAGCTCAGTGACCACAGTAGCAGCAATGATAAGGATGTGGTTTAATGGATTTTGACCCTCTGATGCCACAGCCATTCCAATAGCCTTGGGATTGGTGTTCTCTGTGCTCAGCACAGGCTCCAGAGCCACTTGGGTTGGGTTTAAAATACAAACCTTCTGCTGGTTGATGATGGCAGATATTAAGCACCATCATTACAACAGCTACAGGATGAACTGTAGCACTGAGGGACTTTGTGCTAATGAAAATAAAAGTTGGTGTCTTGAATGGAGAGAAAGAGGCAGAGTTATGAATACAACACATAACCCAACTAAAAAAATGACTTCATCCTGCAGGGGAATGGCCCAAGCCATCCCCAGCATGGAGAGTCTGTGATTCTGGGATGTGTTTCAATGTGCTGACCCTACACAACAGCACAGCAGGCAGCAAAACAACACCTGTCTGTCTGCAAACTAACCCTGAGAGGTTTCATTTTAGGGTCACTGCCCATAGTGGCTTTGACATGAACTTTCTCAAAATCTGGGGATTGTACAAAATGTGCTGGAGTTGGGTTGGAGCCAGGAGATCCCCCTGAACAATGTGTTGATCGATGAATGAATTCAGCCCTCAGGAGCTATTTGGTGACAACTGACTCTTACAGGGCTCAGACTTGTCCAAGATGACTAAAACCCAAGCAATGGTAACGACTGAGAGGAAACCAACTTAGAACACAGAAGTTTAGAGAGCTATTGACCCTTTCATAGGCAGTTGAGGTCCAGAACTTGTGATATTTGGAGATGTTGTAGCTCTCTCCTCATTGCATGACATGATAGAGTGCATCACTTATCATCCTACTTCTGCTTTAACCAAACCACGTGAGAACAGGGTGGTCACAATTCCTGTCTGGCTGCTGGGTCCAGGTCCAGTCCATGACCAGGTGGGAGAAGGAAACAGTGCGATTTCTTTTTTTTTTTTTCTCCTTTTTCCCCCCCTCTTTTATTTAGCTAAAAAAACTCTGTCATTCAAACATTAACTGATGAGAACGCACAGGAGGTCATGCAAAAAAAAAAAAAAAAAAAAAAGAGAAGGCAGGTCTGAAATGCTGAAAAACAAACCAACAAAAAAAAAAAAAAAAGAAAACTGCAAAGAGATTAACCATGAGCCACAAAATAACGTGACCCTGAGGAAGGTGGGCGCAGGCAAGGCAACAGGGCGAGCATGCAGGCTGAAACGAGAGCCAAACGGGGCCTGTGACCAGCAAAATGGGGCTTCAAACCAAAATGCCACTGTCTGTGTGTGTCTGTGTGTGTGTGTGAGGAAGAGGAGGGAGAGAGGAGGGCGGATAAAGAGGGAGGGGGCAGGGAGAACAAGCAGGAAAACCAGCGTACACACGAGAGCTCAAGAGG